TCCTAACCTAATCTTCTCCTTACATCCTCATTTCCTAATCTCCTAACATTCCCGCCAATACATTTTTATATCGCTTATCTCCCAATATCCGAAGCCGTGGGATGTAAACGCGGCCTCATTGTAAAGTTCACTTCTAAAACCCGAAACGCCTTCGATATTTTTCGAAATCTTTTTTTTCAACAATATCCCGCAATAAATATCCAAGTCGAATCAGTTTAGGTGTTCGGATTGACAGGCACAGCCCCGTAATAACAAGGAGAAAAACTCAGGGAATAGAACTCGGACCAGATCTAACAAGGAGAGTCTTTCAGGACATGGAGCGTTTTTCAAAATGGTTTTCTGAATGTTGTAGAGGCTCATGTGAGGAACACAGAACCATGGTCCATTTTTCCTGAACGCCCCCAGGAATGTCAAAACAGGGGAAGAAATGGTCCAAGTTCGATCCTCCGTGATGACAAATTTTTGCAATAATTTTGGCGCCCCATTTGGAGGCAATTGGGGGCGCCAAACTATATTGCAAAAATTAGTCATCACCGGGGATCGAACTCTGGACCATTTCTTCACCACTGTTTTTTGACATTCCTGGAGGCGTTCAGGAAAAATGGATCATGGTTCTGTGTTCCTCGCATGAGCCCCTACAACATGCAGAAAACCATTTCGAAAAAGCGCTCCATGTCCTGAAAGACCTTTTTGTAATCCCGCACCGTTCCTCAGTAAATTGGGTGATTAGCCCCATTAGTGATTAAGACAGAGATTCTGCAACTGTGGAGGACGTGCCGTTCTCATAGCTCTAGAGCAACTGACAAGGGGGCTGGGATCCTATCCCGTTTTGCACTACTGGTGCTTCGGTTATTGGTCGCGATGGAGCAACCCATGCGGTGGACTGTTTGCGCTCTCATTCCTCTTCCTATGCTCTCTAATTTCATTAGCCTGTTTTGTTCTCGCACAGTACCTCAGAAATCGTGGAGTATGTAACGGACCATAACAAATAGAGCTCGACTTACCTGGTAATTCATCAAGCGTTAAAAAATATTTCGATGGAATCCATGGAGGAAGACTGACTGTGTTCTTTTTGTCCACCTTGGAATCTTTTTCACCATTTTTTTTCGTGAAAACTTGTTAAAACAAAAGCACAGCTCAAGCAGCCGGTTTACATACATACATACATACAACACTTTTCACCGTTTCTTCTCAAAACTTCTTCAGCAAGACTCACTCCGAGTCAGGGGTACACACAACTCTACATACAAGTTGAATAGAAAAAAGAACGATGGCACGAAATATGATGTAATAGAAGAATGTACGCCCACAAAGCCACTACACCTTTTTTCATTCAAGGCAACAATTCGGGTCTACAAATTTCCGCATCTACAAATTTTGTGTACACGAATCTCGTCGATTTTAGAAGGGATCTTCTCACACAAAGATTCGTGGGATAAAAAATTCCCAACTAACCTGTAGTTAGAAGGATCGCGTGTAACTCTGTGGAATAAATGCTCGGATGAAAGTCAGAAAAACATTTTCAGACACATACCAACTCCTAGGAAAGAATTGAAGTCATTGGAAAGGAGACCTAAACGCCATTTTCTAAAACATCTCAGCAATTATTCACGGTTGTATTCAATGGCCCCATAGAGGACTCAACAGGACTTTTACAAGGATGAATACATGGAATGAACAAATACAGCATCTAGATTCACAGAATGCGAGAAATGACTACACTACCTCATAATGAAGGTAGCGCTCTATCATTCAAGGACTCCAAATTCATCAACATAAAAACGTGGCGCAGTGGTTATCTCAAATTTTTACATAGTATAATACTTTGGATTCAACGTAATTAAAATAGCATAACATTGCAACACATCAATCGTAAAAACTGCTAAGCTCTCAAAGTGGAGAAGTCAACCGGTCCATCTGATCGCTGTCCATTCATCGGCGCTTTTAACGTGCTTTCATCTCCCCTACGCGAATCCATGTCGAAACGACCTAGCAAGGAGGCCATTGCATCGGTTTCAGGTCGCACCTGAAAAGTAACGGTCAGCCAAATCGCTGATCACATTCAAATAACCAACTTACGTGTATCTCTTCAATTTCCGTTATGCTCTTGAGTACCGCCTGAGGTCGATTCTCCTGATCTATGTCATCCTAGAAACAATCTTGATATTATCACTGCAAGAGTTGATAAAAAAATACTACGAGGTAGAAGAACGACCTGCTTCAGCTCATCCGAACTGTAACTGCAGAACGAGGTGTTAACAGAATCTGATGGTTCCTCGCCGGCCCAGTTGTATAGACTACGTTTCCATGTGCGAATCTAAAGAACCAGCAAGAATTGCTTGGAATGTAAATTTCGGCTATAACAGCCTTTCATTACCTGAACGTCCCAAGATCTTCGACTGAAGTTGATATGCTTATTTGGGGTTCTGGGATGAACACCTTTTATGCGCAGATGTCGAGGGATTTCTTCCAAGTATCGGGCATAAATGGGCTTCTCCTTAGCACGTTCGATCTCCTAAATGCGAAGCTTTAGCCGAAATAGCTGAAAAAGAAAATGCTAGATCTTTTTCACCTTAGTTCGTCTATCGAGTGTAGCCTGATCTCTGCACCATCCCAGAGTAGGATCTTCCCAAGAGTCTTTTGGTGCGAAGTCTCCAGACGATGTACTTTTTGATTCAGACGGGAATAGACATCTATAAGTCCTATTTCAGATCCACCAAACAAAGCAGGGAAAAAAGTGTTTTAAGGCCAGTATTGGGAAGCAATAGCTAGCATTCCCGTGCAAATAAACAGATTTGTTAATGAAAAAACGCGTTTTCGTTGATTTCAAAAAAAGCTCTGCGAGCATTAAAGGTTCTGAGATACCAACCTGCTTCGGAATGGACTTCCTGATGGAGTGCTAGTTTTCAAGTTTTTCCTGGCAGGTCGCCCACTTGACATGGACCCATTTGGTGGTGCTTTCTTGATGGGTGAACATCCTTCGCATTCCTCATTCAAAGTAGCCGTTGAAGCAGCACTCAAGTGGCGTTTACGAGACTAAAGTGATTTGCTTGAACACGACTGAAGCCTACGTCGCTTAAAAAAACGGTAAAGTACCTCTCGTGATCGCAAAGAAGTTTCTTCTGTCCGTGTCTTCCTCTCTACAACAACTTCTATCTGAAATTAAAACAAATGTTTCAAGCTTCCAAGCTCCAATCCAAGCTTTAACGGCTCCCCCACTTTCTTCACGATTTGGGGCGCGGCCGCGGCGAGCGCGGCCGAGTCGATAGTGCCCGCGAACTGTGTGGGTAAATTTGAAAACGCATCACCACCACAGTTCGCGGGCACTATCGACTCGTCCGCGCTCGCCGCGGCCGCGCCCCAAATCGTGAAGAAAGTGGGGGAGCCGCTTACTCCACCTTTCCTTGATCCGTTCCGAACGCCTGCCATTGCCGAATACTTCTTGCGTGAGATCCAAGGAACGGACAAACTTTGGCTTAGAATTCGCCTACGAAGATTATTTATGGTCAGAGGAGTGATTAATCAGTTCAAGTCTGTGCATATCTAGTGATATTACCGTGACTGGAAAAGCTACTACACCCTTTTACGAAACAAACCTTCTTCGGTACACTGGCTTTTCGACCGCGACGTGATTCACTTTTTGAGAGATTTTCTTGAATGCTTGCATTCAGAGATTCATCGTTCGCGGTGACTTCTGCCCAAGAACAGTTAAGAGGAGAAAAATCAGCATCACTCTGAAGGTAATAAGCTCAGTTGTTGCTTAGGTAATTCAGTTGATAACTGCTCAAGTGTTCTACTCACAAAAATCGAGGAAAAACTCTTTCCAACTGATTTCGGTGGGGAAGCCCAAGCTTTTTTGCGGGGAGACGTACGTGTCTTCCTAGGCGAAGGAGCCATCACTTGCCTATAAAGCTGCTGTTGACACTGCATGTTTCAATGCATATATTTTTAGACACGCATGGGAAGGAAAATTTTGAAGCTCACATCAAACCTCTTAGATAGCACAGTTTATCAGAATGAATTCAAGGTAAAAAAAAAGTACCATCAAAGATGAGAAGAAAGAGACCAGTGCTAGCTGTGAACTAAACTTCTTCAAATTAGTAAAGCTAAACAAAAACAGTTGTCATTACACAAGCAGAGTGACGCGCACCGAATTCTCGCAGCTCAAAATTCGCGCGCGAGAGCGCTGACCTCATCGCAGCGGCATCAGGTCATCGGATAATTGGCGTCGAATAATAGGAACCTTGGTGGTGAGAGCGCAAACACCTACTCAATCAGATCAGATTAGTAAGACACGTCAAAAGTCGAATGAACAGAAAATGTTGATAGAAACAATGATATAAATGAAGGTAGACTGAAATACCTCAACAAAATGAACCACGGCTTCCAAAAACTACACCTAAGTAAGTTAAATAAGGGCCTGATGTGTCTCCGGTGGCTAGCTCCTGTTGCGTAAAAGTCACGGAAACGCTCAGTTTTAGGCCTAGCTTCAGGCTAGAAGAGGGAACACGAGGTCGTGAACAATTCGCTTTTCCTCCGGAATTCGTCCCTTTATGTTAGGCTTAGTCCTAGTGGGCTTTCCACAGACACTCACCCGGCACAGTGCGTCTAAATAAGGCGTAAAAAAGTCGGAACTCATTTTGCCTAAGGAAAACGGAAATAGTTTCAAATCGTGAAGTAACAATTTCATTTCCTCGGTTTTCCCTCCCATGCGTCGTCTGAAAAGGCGACTGTATAATCGAAACAGATCCATTGGAAATGAAAGGCGAAATCTCTCCAAGGATTTCTATTTTCATTATTTTTCTG